AAAGAATTTCTTAATTGATTCTGTCGACAAAAGATCATCAGTGACGAGCAGCAAGCTTCCACTGTGGTTTTCCTAATTGTAAAGGATGAAAAAGGAGAAGCCCCAAGAATGTGAAGCATCACAAGCATCCAGCTGGGTAAATGATGGAGGGACAGATGGCCGCCAAGCCCCACTGTAACCATGACTCGCTCATGGACCCTGTGGGGTCGAGGTGAAGGTCAGGTGATGTCAGGGTGACATCGTGGTGAACTTGGTGTTAAATGAACTGTGTGTGTGTGTGGGGGGGGGGGGGGGGGGGTGTCTTTAATATCAGCTGTTGAGCTTTAGGCTCAGAGGAATAATAAACCTCATTGAGAATCTGTCAACCGTTATTTACTGCACAACAAAACCTCTCAGCTTCGCTCATAGATTTAATAATAAATAATACATTAAATAATATAAAGGAAAGTGACACAATCAGTAAGTACGTTTAGCAACCGAATGTTTCAAAATAAAAGAGAAAAAGAGTTGCACAGAAACTTTATTCCACACACTTTATTACAGCAGAGTTTCAAAATAAACGACTCCAGGTGCTAAACTGACCTACACCCGAGTAAGTTACCAGAACTCAATAATTTGGAGAAAATCAACTCCCACAAAGTTTTTGTGTTCTAAAACTGAAAAATTCAAGTTTTCAGAAATTTTATTTCCTATTAAGTTTTTCATGTGCATTTAGTTTCCTGTTTCATTCAAACTACTCAAGTCAACTCAAAGTGTGGCTGCAGTCTTAATCTGCTCTCTGATGGAAACTTTAGATCTAAAGTAAAATATGATGAAAGATGAGCTCAAATTGTTGATTAACTCAAAATAAAAATAAATAAATCAGTAAATAAACTGGAAACATTACATTAAGGTAATAGCTAAACGCTTTCTTTAATAGCAGACATGTAATCCTCTCCTTAAGCGCTCCACTTGTTGGTAAAAGTCACACCAGGTGAACTCAAACTAAAACGACAGCTTCCCCAGATCAGAGGAGGTAGAGTTCCACCTTCACAGAGTCGCTGACAGAGGGACTCCTCAGCCGCTCCAGGTCATAAGGAATGCACCAGGGGAGAGGGAGGGAATGTACCACAGGGGTGTTGAGGAAGGGGGTAGGGTGGCAGCAAAGGAAACACAGAGGGGGGAAACAGTGGAGCCTTTTGTGAGACTGGCAGCTCCTGAAAGCTGGACCTGCTCTCTGAGTACAGTAGTGAGGAGGAGAGGAGCCTGGGAGGAAGATGGGCCTGAAGGGAAGGAGGAGAGCTTTGAGAGCAAAGGGTGGAGAAGTGGAGAAGTTAGCAGGTGGCGGTTTTATAAATGATTCAGTAACTGATTCATAAATCTGAACTAATGTTTAGAATAAATCATTTCATGCAATTTTATATATTTATTTAGGTAAAAGTAGAAGTCTGAATTTGAATAGATTAAAAATTTCTGGTCAATTATGGCTTGAAAATATAAAAATAAATACATTTAGAGAAGTTTAGGTGAGAAACCCGTCTACTGTGACAAACGGAGGCGCACATGATCAGTGATCCTGGTTCTGCTGCAAAGCTGATCCAACAGATCAGAAACTTGTGTTTTAAACTCGAGGAATTACGCAGTTTTCAAATCAGATTTTCAGGTTTGTCAACTAAAATGTGGAGGTTTGTAAAAGTTTCCATTTGCAAAAATAAAGATTTAGACAAGAACTTCTACCTGAACATCAGAACAAAATATTTAATTTCCGTTTTTACGGTTTAGCTCCTAACATTTTTACAGATTAAGAAAAGACAAAAGAGGAAAGTTTAAACGAGGAGGATGAGAAGAGAATTAGGACCCAAGGAAGTGATGAAGCAGCCGTCCCAATTACACACACACACACACACACACACACGTTACAGAAAGGAAAAACAAATAACTACATTTCAAAAGCAAAGGAGGATTTGTTCAGGGCAGCGGAGCCTCTTAATGAGGTCAGGGAAAGCAGCAATAAAAACAATCCAACTGTAATGGTCATGAGCTCATTCCAATCTGTCAGGCCTTTGAAAAGCCATCAAAGAGCTTTTCATCTCTGGTTCAGTCTCATCCGGGCTTTTAGCGAATGCACAAAACACACACCAGCCCAGGAGGAAGAAGGAAAACCCCACCCTCCCTCTTCCTTTTGTCTTCCCATCATCTTCTCTCATTTTCCCCTCGTTCGCTCATGGCAAACAGACAAAAACCTCCACACACACACACACACACACACACACACAACTCATCAAAAAGCAACATTAAGAAGCTTCCATACCAGTTTCAAGATTTAAATTGGTCTCAAGTGACTTTTCCTATAAAAGTGTACAAAAACATTTAAATAATAATTCTGTCTGAAAGCTCGTTTATAAGAAATTCTAAACGGTTTCAGGAAATCTTGCTTCAAATATGATCTGTAGCTGAAATCGCTGTCGGGGAGACAAGCTTCTCTTGAATTCAGAAAGTTCTTGTTGCCTGCGGAGGAACTGCAGGTGGACATGAGCATGTTTGCTGTAACCTGGCATCAAGCATCTGCCAATGCTGTTCATGTTCCTGTTACTTACTTAATCTCACTTTTGGGATTTACGGAACATAATCTCGGCCGTTCCTGCAGCTTTTAGATTTTATTTTAGGTAGAAGTTACATTCTTAATGAAAAGAGCTCAAAACTATGAAAGTGATGCTGATGATGCAAATATAAACATGCATTTCCCCTTTTCTCTCACTACAGAGATAAGAGATTTACGTGAGAATGCTCTAAAAGCACTTCAACACCCCAGAAGAGTTCCTGCTGCGTTTGCGTGTCGTCTCACCAGCTGATGCTCCAGATACTTCCCTCAGGAAGCGGGTGGAAAACATCCTGAGGGACATTTTGTGTTCTCACGCACCATTCTCTGTAAAACACCCAGAAAATCTCAAGAGTCGCAGTGCGAGTGTGAAAAACGTCCCAAAACACAAGTTTCAGTAAATTAAAGCAGTTACCAAAAAGTGACATTCATATTTTAAATCAAATGCTAAATTTATTGCAGATTCAGAGTTTTTGCTGACTCTGGAACATTTTAACCTCCAAGGATTTCTGACTGTCTGCCATATTCTCCTGATTACAAAGACCATCTGTCCTCAAACGCAGGATTATATATTTTGTGTTTCTCCCACATTTAGCTCAGTCATCTAAGTGCACCTTGGCTCACATTTGGTCTGTTTATAACCCAAAAAGGTCCCAACATGTGATTATAACTGAGAGAACACGGGACAGCGGCTGGCCAGGGGTTTGCTTTTTGCTAAATGTTTTTACAAAGTCATTCCTAAAGTTTTTCCTTCTTTTCCAGACAGTCTGGACTTCTGAGATCCAATCCGATCGTACATGAATGCTCACGCGTGAGTTTTTATTTGTTCTATAAAATATATAATGTGAAATTGTAAATAGATGCTTGCAGTTCTTCCAGAGGATTTTGACAAACTTATTGATACTTAAACACTTTGTGCATCAGTGAAGAATAGATGTAAAGTTATTTAAAAAGGAAAATAAATGTATAAAAACTTAAAACCTTGAGTTAAATTTTTGATTTCAGTGTTTATTTTATTGCTTAGGTCTGCTTGACAGACCAGAAAATAACAGTGAGGATCAAACCCACCTGGTGCATTGCCTTGTGTGCAGAATGTGACCCTCAATTAAGCCCTGTTCTCTACAGGTGTGTGTGTGTGTGTGTGTGTGTGTGTGTGTGGACCTTCACCACACAGGATCCAGCCAATCCCTGCTGCCAAGCAACTTCAAACACGGTTTGTTTATTCGGTGCACAGCAATAACATTCACCTGGTGAAAAGTGACATTTCTGTAGAAATCAGGAGGAATTTGACCCTCAGCATAAAGGTGTCTTTCTGCAGCTTCACATACCAGCGGAGGGCAGGAGGAAGGCGTAGAGCCAGAGGGAGGCAGGGAGGAGAGAAACCAAGGCAGAACATTTAAGGTTGACGGGAAAAAGACGAAGCGGAGGGAGAGAGGACATGAAAGATGGAGGGAGCTGTGAGGAAGATGAGGGACAAAAAAAGAGGATGGGGAACTCTGAAGAATTAAGTTGGCTCAAAATAAATACCAAACACACAAAAAGATTAAAAAAAAAAATAAAACAGAATTACTTTGATTTTAAACCACTTAGTCACGATGATTTAGTGATTCTGTAAAAATGCAGAACTTTCACCTGCAGGAAGTCACTTTTTAAAAAGAGTGGACATTTATAAATACAGCCAGATTCTTCTAATAAAATATAAAACTGGTGTTTTTAGTAAAGATGCTTCTGAAGGAGCCTCAACAGAGCGCTCATTGTCTGCTCCCTCTGGTGGCCACTGGTGGTACTACATGTGACACTTCCGATAGGATCTCTGAACATTCATCTTCATTTTGTTTGTTTATCTGATCATTTCACTTAGAAAAATCATTATTGGCTCCTAATTTATATTAAATCATTAGAAATCCCCATGAGAATAATCTTAAACTAGGTCAAATTTATTATTTATGATAAATTAAACAAAAGTTAATCTCAGTTATTCTTTAATGGAGGAAAAATCCTCAGAGATTATGAGTAAGAAGTCAAATATATGAAGAGAGAAAGAATAATTTCTAAACTATCCACAACTATAATATTCAACTATATGTTTAAAAAGATGTATATGTTTGAGTGAACAGAGCCACCAGTGTGGGGTGACTGTTTAATCAGCCGTGCTGCATTCTTATTGGCCACGGCGAGTAACGAAGGTGGGGAGCGCCTCCTCACGCAGGAACTCCGATCGAAGGAAGGGAGGTGGTGGAGCGGACAGGAGACGTTGGGACGTTGTCAGGACTAAAGGTCAGTGCTCCCTCTAGAGGTCCAGAACCAGGAGTGCAGAGCCCGTGGTCAGCCGGGGCCCGGGGGTCCTGCTGGACTGAGAGCATCGCTTCACAGGGAGACGGTCCGAGACCAGGTGTGATGTTCAAACACATCCATCATCAGGTTAAGCTGTCTGATTTTTTTATTATGCATCATTACTGCAAAAGTATCATCTGTTAAACACAAAGGCTGGGGTTTCTCTCCACAATAAATGAAAACAGAGTATTAAAACTTTTACTCAGACATGGTACAACAAACAGAAACAAGATTCAGAATGACGGAAAAAAAGTTGTTTTTTCTTCTTCTTTTAATCCCCAAAAGCACAAAAGTCGGTCAGCTCCACGTGTCAGGTGGAGAACACAAACAGGACGAAGGACAGACACGACAGAAGAGACAAATGAAGCAGAAAAGTGACAGATTCTTCTTGATTTTTCAGTTTTTGCATTTGTTTAATACTTTGTAACAAAGAAAAGGTGAACACGCGTCGCTGACACGAGGGAGACGCGGAACAAGACAACGAAAAGGTGTGAAAGCTTCAAAGGTGAAGAGTAAACCATTAAGGAAGATCTTCGATCTACGGTTTTCCTCTCGATAATCAGCCTGATCCTAGATTGTTTAAACCCCGGTCCTTTTTTTATTCTACCTTTATTAAACCCAAACCCTAAAGAACACCAGCCTCCTTCTTTAAGAGAGACGTGACGTTTTATCGTTTCCTCCGGCCAGGTTCTGGTCAGAGGAGTTCCTATCAGCCAGAAACCACAAACAGTTTCTCTGAAATGCTCCAACTCTGGACACGTTAGGACCATCAACCTCACTAAGAAAAGCAGGTCCAGAGTTCTCCTCCTCTTCTATTCGTTCCTTATTTGCATTTCACCCTTATTGTCGTGTTGCACGACGCTAGAAAAGCACCAGAGCACAGCTCGAGCACCAGAGGGATCCACACTCTGGTCTGTCCTCTCCACTAGCCGTCATTAGGGCCCACGTTTAGAACGCAGACCCCTGACAGCGGCTCACACTGTGCTGTAAAATGATCCTAAAACACAAACCAGGCGAGGACTGAGTGGCCCTGTTTAAGATGGCTGCAGACAGCTTGGCAGTGATTAAAGACGGTGAGGGTGGGGCCTCCAAGGCCGCGTAGCGCAGACCGAACCTGATTAAAACAGCACAGGCCTCCGATTACGGGCAACGCCGCCCTCACCTCTAATCTACACAATGATCAAGTTTTCAGTCAAAGCTCGCCATCCAATAAAAAAGCCTTTTTAAATGTTTTAACGTCTTTACTCTTAAAACACAAGAAATTTCAAAATGTAACAAAGATGGCGACAACAATACTGCTACACAGTCCAAAGGTCACAGCATGCGTCTGCCTTGAGTGCACACTTGCAATGACAAACATTTGTGGGCGGCGCGGTGCGATTCGGCGCCCTCTGGGGAGGATCGCGGATCACCGCAGCTCTGCCGTCAAGTAAAGTTAAGCAACGAGGGACACTCGCTCCCATTCTCCTTCTCCTCAAGGTCGTCCCATGAAAAAGCTTCACATTCTCACACGGCCCGAGAATCTTACGTTTAGTTTAAACTCGCTCCCGAAGCAGAGTGATTCTGAGTTTAGAAGCTGTTCGGGTTCAGGTGCAGCGTCTGAGATGGAGCAGGAGGAGGCAGCGGCAGCGTGCTGATAAAGCTTCCATCGTACCTCCATTTCCTGCACCCTCTGTTTCACTCGCTCTGCTCAACACTCAGCCAATCACAGCCAAAGTTACAGTTTCTGCCCGTTTAAAGTGTAGCTGCAGATGTGCATAAAAACATGGCCTCACATACTAATGAAATACCCAACCACCAGCTTCTGCTAAAACGTCTGCCTGCTCAGCAAAGCTAGAAGTGGCGTAGCTTAAAGAGCAAGTCACCCCCCAAACCAACTTTTTTTCCTGATAAACTATATAAATGTGTGTCTAATCGTGCTGCAGACACGTGTCGTCAATAGTTTTGCATTTTAGTTAAAATTTTAATTTTCTGCCTAAAACTGTCAGTGTTGTGCCGTTGTCGGGTAAAAACTCTGCACTGCATTTGAATTAAAATCTGCCATCGCTATTGGCTAAGAGGTACCCTAGAACGTTAGCTGGTACCATATGATGTCACAATGTCATTGTGAGCCTGTGTGTGTGTGTATTGGTTAGTGGCTCTGCCCTCTAGGGTCTGCTAGGCAACATTTGTTGTTGTTTCAAACAGGAAGTGGGAGCGGAGTAATACTCTGGTAGGGGGTGACTTGCTCTTTAAGAAGCTGCACTGAGTCTGTAGCTTAATCATTCAACGCTAAGCTTATAGCACAGATAATCATAATTAAATAAAAACAGAGATGCTAAAGCAGAGCTAAATAAGTCACTGATGCATGGAGGGGTGGGAAGTGATGTCACTGCCAATCATCAGGTAACAGACGAACAGAAAAGTAACTCACTTATTCTAAAAGGATGGTTGAACCGCGCCAACAGAAAGGAATTTCAGCACAAACAACCCAAGCTTTACTAATAAAAGTTGTTTTTAATCTCTACTGGTTTGCCTTCAGCTCATAAATGACTGAATTCATTCCCATCCTGGATTATGAACACGGTGCCATAGCAGAAGGCTCCAACGTTCAACAAAGGAAGTTCTAAAAAGAACGTCTGACCCAACCAGAGATTATTCATTCAAGCGCCTACCCTACAGCCGAGGCGGTTCCAGGAGAGAAGCTCTGAGCTGAACTCGCTTCCTTCCTCCTCGGCCCGTTTCAGGATGGCTGAACTCTTCTAACCCTAAATCTCACCGTTCGCTCAAACGAACCGACTCGCATCACCGAATCGTCGACACAGCAAAAAAAAAAAAAAAACGCCGGCAGAAGTCGGTGCGTCACCATCATCTTGCTTTTCTTGAGTCAGTTTTGTTGCATAAAAACTCGACTTCTCAGAAAAAAAACAAACGGAGATGATGCCACTAAGCTAAACAAGCGGACATAAAGAAAACAACAATTAACCGTCTAACGTGTAAAAGAGATCACCTGTCTGACAGGTCACCTGCCAGCCTAGTCCACTTTGTGTGGCGCTGGCTGAGGATTCTCTCTGAGACGTTTTGGGACCACAAGCTAACTCTGGATGAAGACGGAGGATCCAGCTGCTTCCTACGTCTTCTCCAGCTTTCCTCCGGTCTAAAATAACAACAATAAAAGGCCGCCTCTGTCTGAAAGGGAACAGCCAACACTTACCAGAACTAAGCTGACGTCATTTTCCACATCTATGGATCTATAATAAAGAAGGTCATGAAACGATAGAGGACTAGATCTAAGAAGGTGTGGAGAATGGCTGATTTGTCTGTGATTGCATACTCTGTTTGCATTGATGAAAATGTGCAAGTCTTTAAAAGACCACATGAAGCGTTTAGCACCTGGAAGAAGAGCTCTTCGCCGTAGAACGATACTGCACAATGCTTTTCTAGTTTCTACTGGATGTGGTGACCAAGGAGGCTGAAAATACTTCAGAAATCAACACTCAGACACCCCACAGCCCAAAGTGGAAGTAAATCTCTGTGTACCCCGGTATTGCTCGTTTTAGTGTGTAGATGGTTTAATTCTTCTTCTGATTGTGGCCAAAGCTGCATGTGAAGCTGCACGTGACTTTTCACTGCAAAATTCAGACCCGGGTCCTCACAAGTGTCCATCACAGTAAATATCAAGTGCTAATGTCAACAAAAACATCCTCAGTTACCGGGAACAACAGGAAACGTTGGCAGAAGGTGGTGCAAAAGCAGCAGCGAGGTGTGGTTTGGCCCTGGGCTCAACGGCGGCTTCACGGCGAATCTGAACAGCAAAAAAATAAAGTTTCTATTTTATCTGCTGGAGCCGCACGAGTCGCTCTGACGTGTCAGCGGGTCGTTTGTGTCTGAGCGACTCCTCTGCTTTTTTTGGTATTATTTACATCTATGGTACAAAAGTCTCAAGCATTGATCCAAACACAAAGTTTCCACATCTGCAGGTAGTAGATGTAGGATTCCCGTTATTCCCTCAAACACGAACGGGTCTGATTATTGCATCTGCAGCAGCAGGATGCTGAAGAACCAGCAGGTCAGCAGAAATCTTTCTAACGTGTCAAATTTGATGCTGATTCGTCTTTTTTCTTCTTCAACTATCGTAATGCCGGCGTCACTTTCAGCTACGGTTTTAGGGCCAAGCTGGAATCAGCTTACAGCGCCGCGTTTTCAAGAGGACAGAGCTGATTGGAGCAACGCCTCTCACAAATCCCAAACAGTCCAAGGACACTTCAAAAAGTGCTGGGTAGAAAAGTCAAACGTCAGTTATATTTATTCACTCCACAGACTCGCTGACCAGAAGCCAACACGCTCAGATACAAACCGTCCAAATTATTCAGAGAGCCAGAAACGTGTTTCCTCTCATTGGCCGCCATGTTTAACCACAGGACTGGTAGTTAGGATCATTCCCCGCCCTGGTTAGCATCCGCTCAGAAGCTCACTCACCATTTATCAAGTTCAACAACAAGTGATAGGATTTTAAATGATGCAATAAGAAGAAAACCCTACACTTAGTACCTTCAAGTCCAACTTGGGTGTCTGAGAAAAGATGGCCATCTTTAGGAAACGGGAGCATTTACACGGTTACAACTCACAAAAGTGCATTAATGACCACCGGAAGAGGGAGGACTCAAGGGAGCAGAACGAGTAAAACACTTTTCCAAGCGTGAAGCGTTACTTCCCATAAGCTCCACGCCGTTTAAATGCCAAACATTTGCCAAAGTACAGATAAAATCTAAACTTAAAAAAAGAAAATTCAAGTCATTCCTCTTGTCTTCCAAAGCCCGCTGTGCGCATCAGAGTGAAGGGCCGTGGATCGTTTGCCAACGCGCTCACACACCCCTTTTTCCTGGATTTCAATGCCTTAGAAAAAGCTCTCATTTTATGAGTACAGTACTTCAAAATAGAAACTCAAACAAGTTTCAGTATGAATATTAAAAAAAAAATCTATGTTTTTCAGAGTGAATGGATTCACTGGGATGATGATAAATCGTCTCGATGGTGGACCGGTAGCTTAGCACTTGACTTTAAGCTCAAATTAAACACAAGCAACTAACCAGCTAGTTATGGAGATAACAGGTGCAGCTAGCAGTAGATGTAAGTAAAGTGAAAGAGGAGGAAAATCCCAGATATGCAGAAGCAAAAACTCACTGAAGATGAAGATCTGAAATTATAATCTCATTTAAGATTAAGACGTTTGCTGTAAGTTTGGGATAAAAGGATCTTTAGTCTTCAACCATGAGATGGGAAACTAAGGGAAAGATGGTGTAAATGCGTGTGTGTGTGTGTGTGTGTTAGCAAATGCTAATGTTAAGCTGTTTTACCTGTGTGTTAGCTAGATTTTATGCAACTAAAGTATGCAGGTGTGTGAAGACGGTGAACATGTGATTGTGTGTAAAAGCTGGCTCGTTCAAAACCAGCAGGAGCTGGAGGTTAGCGACCCCAACGAGAGGAGCCAGCGTTGATAATCCTGGTGTGCATCGGACCCTGACCCGGTCTGAACGCGCCTCCCTTAGGTCAGCTGGTGAGGCGCCTCCAACATCTCCATGAGAAAGGTGTCAATGGGTGTGTCGCCAATCAGTTTGAAGAAGAACAAATGCTCCAGGCACTTCAGACCGATGGAGCGCAGTGCTGGGAGTCGAAGGAGGAGCTTTGCAAACCTGGGTGATGAAGACACGGGTTGGAAAGACACCAAAGAGAAGACACCTCCCACCGACTGTTTGACCCTACCTTCCCTGCTGATCGGGGTATTTCTGCTTGCAGTAGGCCTCCAGAGACGCGTACACCCTCTCTCTCAGGAGCTCCACCTCACTGGAGTTGGACAAACCCTTGGCGTCTGCAGAAAAACAGAGGTTTACTCTTCATCCTTCAGAGATGCTTTCAGATTGATTCGTTTCATGTGTGACTGCAAGCGTCAGCACCTGGGTTAAAGAGAATGATCGCGCGAAGGCAGCCCAGCTCGGTCTTGTCCATCTGCATGTCTCTCATTTTGCTGACGAGCTCCGTCAAAACCCTGGAAAGAAAAAGGATTTGCAGTAGGAAGTGCCGTCTAGAGACAATCTGATGTGTGTTAAACTGAAGAAGGAAAAAAACAGAAAAAGAGAGGCAATAAAGAAGACGATGAAAGAGGAAGATGAAGGTATTAAAAACAGACTCCATCCTCACATGATGCGATTTAAAGCTCGTTATTATCTAACTAGTGGTGGCGTGGCTGAACTGCTGGTTCTGCAGAACAAAGTCTCAAAACTCAGCTGCTGCGTCCATCTGTGGCTGAGTACATCTATTTTTAAATAAATAATGAAACTGGCTGCCAAGTGTTGAAACTGAGCACGTCTGGAGAGAAAAAGGAAAGTTTCAGGCACTCAACAGATGGCTGAGGTGGTGAGAGCGATTGGCACGAAGAGATCGCGGAGTTAAGTCCTATTTTTTATTTTTGAAACACGATTCAGACAAAAATTTTGCTTAATAAATAAAACCCATTTAAGAAGATGATTAATATCTAATTTACAGAGTATAGGGTTTTAATAACGGTGTTTCATAGGTCAATCTGGAACAATTATCACTACTGTAGATTTTAATCTCAGCAGACTTTTATTTTGTTAAACTTTTAATAATAATTGTATGAGTGTTTATGCAGCTCCAGCTTTACGAACTCCGTTGTTGCTGCTGCAGAACGAATGTCCTTCCAGCACCGACTGATAAAAATAAAGTCCTGACATTTAAGAGACGTAAATTCATCTGCAGCAGCTCACGAGGGTCAAGTCTAAATGTGACGATCACACAGACGACTAAAACCAAGTCAGAAGTACAGATACAGCTTAAAAAGATCCAAGACTGTTGGAGATAATCTGTTAACGGTCAGTATTCACACCTGAGTAGATCAGCGGTCTGAATCCTGGTCCACCAGGACTCCTGTGAACATGTTTTAGTTGTTTCTCTGCTCCAACACGCCTGATTTAATGGTTGAAACACCCATTCAGCAGCTCATGAAGCTCTGCAGAAGTATATTAATCACCTATTGATTAATATCAGGTGTCATGGGAGCAGAGAAACCTCTAGAATAACAGGACGGTGGCCCTGGAGGTCCACGATTGGACCAATTAAATATTCATGCATCAAAATTCCCGCCATGCAAACAATCTGCCTTTATAAAAATATTATTTGGTTGATAAAAAGATAAATTTATATATTTCCCATGGCAGGTACTCTAGTAGGTTAACTAACCCAGTCCTCGTTTGGTTATTATGGTCCGGCTCAAATGGGAAGAAGATTTAACAAGAGACCAAATTCAACCAAAGCCCCAAACTAAAGGAATCAACGCAAATCCTTCAAATCTGTTAATGACAGGTTTCTGATTCCGGCTTCAACTCTGAAGAAAAAAACCTAAAACCGCCCGGGGTTTAGTGTGTTTACTTCACTCTGACTCAAAGAGGAAGGGTTTAAGAAAAGTGTTTGTGTGTTGGCGTAATTACCTGTCAAATATGGCCACAACCTCAGCATTGTTCACCCTGTGTATTCAATCACAATGTGTTATTACAACGTTATTACACAGGGAGAGTAACAGTATTCTGTTTGTGTACTTCAGCTCTACACGTCCACGCTTCGACTTCACAGGGTTAAGACTCAGCCGTCCACTTTCGTTAGACATTTGTTTTGATGCGTGGGCTCTTGTCTTTGTCCCGTTGTGTTGCACTAAAACACAAGTAACTATAGTTTTGTGTTATAAACAGCTAAATCTGGAAAAGCGTTGTAACTTTTACACAAACACATATTTCCTTTAGCAAAAAGGAGACTGTGAGAAATCTTAGAGCTCAAATACAAACAGCAGAAACTAATAAACAACATTATGGTCGTTTCACTTCTTCTTGCTAACATTTTCTTTCATAGTAAAGAAAAAAGTGACGAGTTGTGTAAAAATTCAAGTGTTATGGATAAAGAACTACAATTCGGAGACAGACCTGCTTTCTCTGCCATTCTAGTACCCGATAAATGGGCAGAGTTGGTGTTGATTTATAAAAAGTGTCGGTTCCTCACACAGCCGCTGATCCCAGATGTGACCAAAGTTCCAAAATGCTGGAAGTCCAAATGTATTTTCATTTTTTTAAAGCTAAAGATAAAACCACAATAATCTATTTATGATTCACGTACACAAACTCTATGTTTTTCATCTCTAACAAACTTTAAACCATAATTTAATGAGGCAGATATGAGAGAAAAGCAGGTTAACACACGGAAACGTCTGTTTTTAACAACTTATTGATTCAGGTTTAGGGTTGTCACGGTAACTGGTGTAGCGGTAAACCCCGGTACAAAAGTTGACAATAATAATAACCGTCTTGTTTCAGATAAGAGGGGCAGAAAAGAGTTGGTCTCTCTCCGAGAATAATTATGAATTTAACAATGATTACTGCCTGATGACATTTTCCCACATCTGCAAAGCTCACTGGAAGGACACAAACCGAGGACAATATTTTCCTGATATAGGGTTTATTCTCACATAGGATGTGAAATTTTAACCTCACGGTTATTGTGACCAAAATTATCACGGTCTTCGGTATTATCGCTGTATTTTTTTAAACGTGTTACATTTTCAGACAACTACATAAAACCTGTATATCAGGAAAATATTGTCCTCAGTTTGTGTCTAAATTTAGCCTAAAATGTGTTATTTTGTAATTATGTTATTTGTTTACATTTTTCCCCTTTAGTCTTTAAAATAGCAATATTTGCCCATAATTTCTTATTTTATGTCTGTTTGATGTCATCATTTTAAAAATATTAGATCAGATGATACTCAGTACTCAAGTAGCCTTCTAATCAGATACTTTTTTACCCTTACTTGAGTAATAAACCCTATATCAGGAGAATATCGTCCTCTGTTTGTGTCCTTCCAGTGAGCTTTGCAGATGTGGGAAAATGTCATCAGGCAGTAATCATTGTTAAATTCATAATTATTCTCGGAGAGAGACCAACTCTTATCTGCCCCTGGGAGCCCCGTAATGCATAGCGTCATTTCAACATGGCGGTGTCTGCGACACGGTTTATATGCAGGTAGCGGCGCTGCGGCTGCTTTATATAGCGACTCGTTGCATTCTCCCTCAACCCAAATCCTCAGATCACGCATCTTAGCTAAAACGCTAACGTTAGCTTACCTTGCGTTGACTGTAGAGTTGTGGGTGATGGTCACGCAGATGTGTCATGAGATTTGAAGCGTTGCTGCCTTTCACAGACACTTTTTCTGCACGTGCTGCAAACAGGATAGCCGTCTTCTATCAGCTGTCCCTCGGCATTCTTCAAATATCCAAAACATGCCCGTACTTCCCACTTTGTCTTCTTTGAGGGATAATAAATGTCCTGAGCGCTGCCGTCTCCTCCTTTGGCCATTATTTCAGCTTTAGCTTCAAGAAAGTTTTGGTCGTAAACAACAAAGCGCGCATGTGCCGCCGGCAACTTCAGCAGATGATACGGTGGCTGGTAAGGGTCACCACGCCTACACCGTAGCCACGGTAATCCACCGAGATAATATATTTTTTTAGAAACAAGACGGTTATTATTATTGTCAACTTTTTTACCGGGGTTTACCGCTACACCGGTTACCGTGACAACCCTACTGAACACTAACTAGAAATTCACGAAAATTTTATAGAAATAAAATAATTTTGTTTATTGGGTCTTTGGTAATTTAAGACCTTTGGAAACTGTATTTAAGCATTATTTGTCATTTTTTAAGGATTTTTAATACCTTTAATTTGGAAAAGCAAATTTAAGACTTTTTAAGGACCCGCGGATACCCTGTACAATTAGTCTAACTAATGGCAGGTCATCCAGCCCTTGTACTGCCTGATCTAATGATTAACAGTTTTAATCACAGTAAAAATGTCTTCAAAAATTAAACTAAATATTACTTACAAACTGAAATAATAAATAACAAAATATAAGCATGCTCTACAACATTCACAGCAGTGCCATAAACACTTGAACATACAGTTAAATACATTTACAGTTTTAAATGTTAGTATTATGCACGCTCCAGCACATAGTGCTGTTAGTGTGCTGTGCAGCTAAACCAAGCTAGCTGTGCATGCATGTTTACAGATAAGCATCAACCAACAGCATCCCTAGCATGCGCTAACAACATACAGCCAGGATTAAAAAGCAGTTTCAGCCAACAGCAGCCAGTGCAGAACACAGCAGTTGCAGCCAACCAAAGATGAAAAGCTACTTTAAATCCTGAGCCCAGTCATTAAATAAAGCTCAGCCCTAATATAGAACGAATTATAGTACTAGAGTACAGGAAGGTTGTTTCTTTTGTGAATTGGGTTGTATTAGGTGAAATTATCAGGGGATCATGGATTTTATCCGTCTTTTAAAGAGAAGTTTAATTTAGGGTAACATGACCAGAGGCAGATCCTTTATAATCCTAATGTCAGATAAAATATAAAAGCCTCTGAAAAGACACTTGGATCTGATATCAAATCCCAAAGTGAACAAAGTAGTTTTAGACTGATGTGTCAGAAGATTGACGAGGAATGCTTCTTTCTGGGTATTACCTGTCAAAGATGGCTCCAACACCTGCGCTGTGGGCACTGTTCCTGTGGACGTGGAGACCCGTGGCCAGTAAAATCTCATCCCTCATACAGATGGAGCGATGGGAAAACGATGCAATCAGGAGCTCATTCCAGCCTGTTGGAAAATTAGTGCCTCAGTATTTAAACTAAACCAGAACCCATAAACATTCTCATTTTTACTATAAACGCATCTCAATATAAAAAATTTAACGTTTCTAGTTTCTGTTAAGTTACTAATCAGATCGTCTGACCTTATTTATATCTTTTAAGATTAAGATCAAACTTACTGCCGGTTCAGGGTTTCCCCCAGAGCTTTATAAGCCTGGCGGCCCACCAGGCTTTGCTTGGCCACCCGCCAGGCTAAGCGTCATGCCCCGCCCCCCTACCCACCGTGTCCGCTGACATGAATGGCGCAATGAAACTAGAGCCCTTCAACAGCTGATACTGGTGAGAAACGGCAGCGGAACGTGTCCGAAATCCCCACCCCCAGTGTCATGGAAGAGCGCTGCGGGACGGAATGCGCGACAAATGCGTCATTTGCATTTTTTTACTGTGTGGGCGTCGGACGAGCCCCCGCACCGAGAGAACAAACATCTCAGCTCTAAAGCCGATCTTCATCAGCATACGTCACACGTCACGTGATCAGGAAGCAGAACATCCATGTGTTAGGAGATCGTTTTGGGCCGTTCCTGTAAAAAAAAGTGAGGCACGAAACGGAAAAGCTTCTGCCGATCACAATTCAACAACGGATTATGAAAGAACGGATAATGCTCGAAACTCGCGAATTCTTCCTGATGTAAGAGGCGAGTCTCTGCTTTGTTTTGGTAATTTTGGCGTCGACATCATCCTAGCGCGCAACGTTCTGTGACTCTTAAAAAAACAGTAACAATGGTGAGAAACGCTGGCAGCGAATGAGTTAACATGTTCAGTAGTAGGCTACTGGAAATGCTAATAACATTTAATTTCTACTGCAAAAACTGTAGGTGACATATTTATTAAGTTATAGTTTAAATTATGTTCACAGATAGACGTGTTTGTGAATTACATGCTACAGTGGCTTGCCATAATCCTGCTGCGGGGTTTAGCAAAGCAGACTCGAACCTGCAGACATCCAAAGCCGGGCGTACACTGTGCGACTTTTTCACTTTTTTGAGCCGATTTTCCTCTCGTGCGAGAATCCACAAGATGGGGGAGAGTTTTGCTCTGAGCGTCGTGTACAGGGGGTTACAAGAGGCGATTAACGCCATGTGACCAGCTACCGATCAGCAATCGTGAGCTCGCACGGACACCTGGAGTGTTTGATATTTTGCTCGTTCCTCATGAGGGTTGAAGCGGCGCAGCGAGCGGCTGCAACCCAAAAAGTACCAGAACCACTCACGGCGCATGCGCAATCCTGCATCAACACCGCTCACCCGCTATTCCCTAATAACACACGTTGTTCGTTTTTATTTCTACATGTCTTTTACACACAATGACAAGGATTGTCAAGAAAGCGTGTTTGTCGTGTTCATGTCAAACTAAACGATCACAAAACACAGATTTACTTTCTTTATTTTGTTTTCCTCATCCAACCCCCATAAATCCCTGTGTGTCCTCCTGCAGCACTCCCGAAGGACAAGAGGCAAGACAAGACAAAAAAGTCTGACGTGTTGAGTAACAACTGCTATTTTTAGCATATTTTTAGGTCCGACGTGTCGCTACCAGACGTACAGCGTGAGCACGACTCATTAGATCTGCCCTGCGAGGAAGTCGTACAGTCTGCGCTGAAGCTGAGTGCTACGAGTGAAAAAGTCGCACAGTGTCCGCCCAGCTTAAGAATAAACAGGATGCTGAGGTCATTTCTGCCGCTTGTAGACTCAAGATATTCTTAGTTTCACGACCATCGTGTTTTTCCTGAACCCCGCCTGATCGTGAACTTGCTACCCGCTAGCATTAGCTAATCAGGCCCTTGTTGCACTTTTGATCCCAAATCGTTTCTGCCTTTGTGTCTTTGCTGGTTTCTGTTTTCCTCCACAGAACCTAGATCAGCTCATGGTGCGTCAGTAAGCAACTTATGTTCTGTGTGTCGTTCCTCATCAAAACACCAGCTTTCTCTCCCGTTCTGATCTCCCTAGAGCTGCTCTGTTGCCTCCTACACACGAGCTGCGCACATTGACTGTTAAAGGTTGCGTAACGTGAAAAAATGTTGCACAACACAATGAATCGATGACAAAATGTGTTACCAACGCATTTTGTCATCGATTTTTATCGATTTGTTGTTGCAGCCCTACACGAGTTACTGAACGAAGACGATTGAGACAGAATGGTGTTTGTTCATGATGTCGGGTAAACCGACCTGCACGAAGCAAGATGACCTGATCATCCAGGGAAAGCTCAGAGAAGTGAGGGATCCTTTTAGCCCACTCCACCAGGGTGAAGAGCTGCTTGTCTGCAGCCTGACAGATGTTAGTGACGGGATCGTTGGGCTGAAAGGAACCAAATGATCTTAAATTCATTATTTATAAATCATTCATATAAATCAGCGACTACCCATGTTAATCTTATTGAGATATTAATCTAGAGGAACACATTGTGGATGTAAATTAGGAGTAACTAATCCTCTCGGTAACTCACAGAGCTGCCGCCGGAGCTCCCGTCTGCATGGAGCTCCGTCTTCTGCTCCACGGCCATCTCAGCTTCCAGAATCCTCTCCACGGGCATTTCTTCGTTCACGGCGCTGGTGGACTCGACCTCGCCGTCTCGCTCCTTGTTCCTCTGCCGCTCCTCCTGGACAGCTGCACAACGTGGTATAAAGAGGGAGGGGAGGAACACACGATAACCAATAAAGAAAGAGAAATTAATGGACAAGAGCGAGACGAGCAGCGGACAAGCGATGAGGGACAGAACACATGAAAGCAGCGATGAACAGATGGAACAAAAACATCACAAAAAAATAAGGGACAAACAGAGCAAGTTTACAAAAAATAAAAACAGTGAATAAAAGATAAAAGCCATGATGATGGAGGTGTCAACAAAAGAGATGAGCAGGGAAACGAGATAAATCAACATGAAATAATAATAAAGCTGAAGGAACAAGAGGATTGCAGTTCAGTTTCTGGTTGTTTTGGTCATTTGGGACATTTTAGCTCCAGAACACAATAGAACTGGTCCAGAAACACGAGGGAAAAATCAGACATGCAGCTAAACTCACGTTTCATAACAATCCATAAGAATAAAATCAAAAGAAACAGACTAGAATGACGCAAGTCAATAAAACATGTTTATATCAGTCAACATATACGCATTTACCTCCTATTATTCATGAGGATTTCTGAGACGTGCAACAGAAAATATTCCTCCAGCCTAAGGCTGAACGATTTAGGAAAATAATCTAATTGCGATTTTTTTCTTTAATATTGCGATTTAATTCACAATTATTTTCTCAAGGGGCTTTTCTCATTTTTCAACTAACGGAAGCAAAAAAAAAAAAAAAAGATCTATGTAACTTGTACTGAATATAAAGTTTATGTATCTACATATATCATCAAGTTTATTTGTCTACACATACATGAACACTCACAAGTAAAGACAACATCTTGTATTTGAAGATGCAATGCTTTACAGCCAGGAGCACATCCTTTGAAGGAGAATAGGTATTAGCATCAACTGTGAGAATTTATTTGCAGGAAAGAAGTGTGTCCCATTTATTGAAGTCTTTTGTGTTTAGTTTTAGACGTCTTGTCCATGCAGAGCTTCCGTAGTTCAGTTACGTTCACAACGGCTAGCCAAAACTCAGTGGAGTTGAAGTACAGTTTTCTAGCTTTACTAAAATATCTGTCTGTACTTATTTGATTAATGGCAGTTTTTACTTTATATTATACTCCAAATGTAATAATTTGGCACGTTCCTAATTTGTAAGAATCTATTCGGCGATACTAGCGTTAGCATCCCTATGGGTTTTTCAATGTATGTTAGCATTATGCTAACCACTCGCTGCCAGTCAAATCGCAGCCTTTGCATTAGAAAATCTCCTTTTGTCACATCGCAATTTAATTGCATATGCAATTAATCGTTCAGCCCTACTCCAGCCTAAACCCGGACGAGATGGAAATGTATTCGTTTAGAAAAATACTTATTCTAAGACAGAACCTGAGCAGAAGCAGGAGTGAACAGTAAGGCTAATTATTATTTTCCTACTTTAAAACCTGAAAATAGTTCCAAGAATTCCACTAAAAAGGCAATTTCACATGTAACAGATTTGTGTATGTATGTTTTACCAAACTACTAAATAATTGATACTTTCTACAGTCGTCTCAAACAGCTTAACTATCAGAAAACATGATATTTTAGAAGAACCACAATAAAAAAAGGCAAACAAAATCTGCAGGAACTGAAATGAACATGTACATTTCCTGCACGACGAGCATCAAAGCCTCGTTTAACCTTTGAACAGATGCGGAACAGCTCTACAGCTGTGACCTTACTGTGCAGCGCTCAGACAGAAGTAAACAATAAATGACTCAGAATACAAGAATGATTAAAAGAAGTCAGCATATTAGCTCGCTGCATATCCACAGAGCTTAAAAAGCACATGTGGAAGTGATACGAGGCGTGCTCGGGTCCAGCTCTGAGTTCTGGACAACAGCAATGGAAAACATTTGAAATTAGCTCCAACTAAGTGACAGGAAGTGAAATATTTCTAAGTCTTGATACAGTCAGACACCCCTCCCTCCCTCTTCTTACATCTGTCGTTCATCGTGGCCACTACAGAAGGAGGGAGGGGGAGAGAGAGAACGAGAGGAAACAAAAAGAGGAGGAGAGGGAGCAAGGGGTTAGTGTTTACAAGATTTACCCACCCCCACATCCTTCTCTTACCACTCCGCTCGTTCTTTCTATCCCCTATTAAACACACATTAGCCCCCTCCAGACCTACCACAGAGCTTCACTCACACATCTGTAAACATCAGCACTAAAACGCAAGACTAGGTAGTTGGATTAAGTTACACCTTATCCGAGAGACTCCAGGGGGACAGATTATCTCATAATTTGAGAGAAATCAGACCAATCAGCCTTGTTAACCTGCAGCGACCGGAGATTAGCCTGCATCAAAAACGTATTCATTCAGTAACTCGTGACTGATGAGTTACTGAGTAGATTTATGATCAACAAAAAGGTATTTGTTGTAAAAGTTACAGAAATAGACTATAGCAGTAAGTAATGTGACCGTTTTTACTTAAGAGAAGTAAACTGTCACATTTTTTAGTTTTATTTGGAATAAATTTCAGATTTTGGGATTCTTTATTATTTTAGAAAACAGATGAAAGCAGAAAATATTCAGAAATAAGTTTAATTTGCACATAAATGCAGGATTAAGTAAAATTTCTAAATTAATCGAGATGAAAAGAAAATGTATGATCAAACAAAGGCTAAAATTGTCATGCTGATATTTTCAACAAAGAGCAGGCGCCCTGAACATACCTTATATCTATCTTAATAATAAATAATCACAATGATTAATAATGAGATAACGCACTAAACCAACACTAAATTTTGTATTTTTCCAGGAAACAAGAAAACACAGCTTGTGTGTGATTAGTTCTTAAACTTTTCAACTCTAACAGACTTGTGGCAGATAATCCCGGATGTTCTGTTTTAAAACGGACCCAGACGGGATTTTCAGTGATGAGAATCTGGTACAACACGCTCGGCACATCAGTTATTATTTCTACACAGCAGGTCCTTCATCCTGAACCTATCAGGAGGTAAAGCAGCTTCATAGGCTGATGGATACGTTTCATTACTGGTAACAAGGCTAGTCAGCACAGGTGTAGTGCTCATGCTCCTTTTGTTTTGGGTTATTCACCCAAAAGTCTTTTTTAATTGTTCTAATTCATCAGATGCATTTAAAGAGCAAATCACCCCCAAATAAACTTTTTTTTTGCAGATAAACTAAATAAACGAGTGTCTACTCGTGCTGCAGACACGTTTAGTCAATAATTTGGCACTTCAGTGCATCTTAGTTAAAATTTAAATATTCTGCCTAAAACTGGCAGTGTTGTGCCGTTGTCAGGTAAAAACTCTGCACTGTATTTTAATTTAAATCTGCCACCGCTATTGGCTAAGAGGTATGCTATGATGTAAAGTGGTACATTATGATGTCACAATGCTGTTGTGAGCCTGTGTGTGTGTGTATTTGTTAGCAGCTCCGCCCTCTCGGTCTGCCAGGCAACAGCATTTGTTGCATTTTTCAAACAGGAAGTGGGAGTGGAGTTAGACTCTGGTAGGGGGTGACTTGCTCTTTAAAAGGGAATGATTATGACATGAAGACTAGGGTCGGGCATCGTTTGAATTTGAACAATTCCGATTCCGATTCCTTGTTTCGATTCCGGTTCCTATTGATTCCAATTCTTTCAAGACATTCCATGTTTTACATGCGCCAGCTAACCACAGGTCCTACTTGATGAAATAATCTTAACTTCAACATGAATTTTAATTCTATGAACAACAACACCACCTTCATTTAGACAAAAACATGTTTTGGAGGAACATTGAAAAAGACTTGCAGCACAACCAGTGTGTTTGTTTCTGACCACAACCAAAGTCTGGAAGAAGCCTCTGGGATGAGTTTCCTCATCACCGCATTTTTGGCTGCAGAAGTTAAAGTTTACATCACGGAGTAAAAGTTTGGCAGATGCTTTTCTTTATATTTGGTCGCTGCGCGCCGGGTGGGGGTGGGGGGGGGGACTCGATGCTGCACACAGACAGCTGGTGTGATCAGCTCTGAAAAGCATTGATCACAATTTGCAGATCACATTTATTTTTCACGGAGATCGGCCGCGGATTCCTCTTCCGGTCGGCATTCTAGGAATCGAAACTAAGAATTGAAATAAAAACTTTGAACGATTCCGGGAAAAATGAACAGTTGGTCTCGGTTCCAATCGATGCTCGATGCTCTACCCTAATGAAGACACATTCTCCATGAACAACATCAGAAATAAACACTACAAATTATCACGAGACTTCCTGAAGGTATTCCCTATTACTATTACCAGATTTCACGGATTCAACTGACCCTTGATGCTTTTAAAAGCTAAATAAGCTAAACAATAATATTTGTAAAATAATAAATACTGTTAGGTTACAGAAAAGATACTGCACAAAAATGATATGCACATTATTATGCTAAAGGATAATAGAACAACTATTTTTCAGCGTTTTGAGTTACTATTAGATTTTCCAGTCTTAGGAAGTCAGCTAAAAGGCCATTCTTAATGGCATCTTCAGTAAATCAGAATTTGAAAGCTATGTTTTATAAATACAGCCTATTTTTCATTGTAAGGAACAAAATAGGATGGAAAAAACTCATTAATATGAATCACTTCCTGCTTTCTCACCTTCTCTCTTCATGCCCATGGCCAGGCACTTCTGATAGCGGCAGTACTGGCAGCGGTTTCTTTGTCTCTTGTCCACAATACAGTCCTTGTTGTCCCGACAGGTGTAGGTGAGGTCTTTTCGCACTGTTCGCTTGAAGAAGCCTTTGCAGCCCTCGCAGCTGTAGACGCCATAATGTTTACCTGAGAGATGGAGGTAAATTAAATAATGAAATCTGATATTTAACTTTAACAGGTTTACACTCACCAGAGGATCGGTCTCCACAGATGGAACAAAGACGTTTTTGGGAGAGCATCGGGCCTGGGCTGTGGGCAGACAGCTGCTTCAGCCCCAGAGGAGGTTTCACGTCATCAGAGCTGCTCACGGCGTGAAGCCCTGACATGGTCACTGTTGAGTTGATCTGAAAGAACAGGTTTATTGTGTTTATTCCTGTTTTACCATTTCTAAAATACACTGGAGGGTCCATCGCTTAGAAATAATCAAGTCTAACTGTATTATTGCCTTATTTGAAATTTATTTACTGGAATTTTCAGTTAAGTTCAGTATTTATTCATTTCAAGCAACATCATGTTTCCATCACAATACTCATAACTGGTCAGCATCATCATCTTCATCATCCTTCACAACAATATCGACAAAAACACTATCATCATCATCTGATAATGATAATAAAAATTATAGTAAATAATAATTTTAAGTAATTTCTTGAAGAAGCTTTGTGGAAAATTCTCTACAATTAAGATTTTGTGTTTATTCTAAAACGTGAATTTCCAAAATAATATAGAAAATGGGGAATATATGAATTTAGTGAAGTCATTTCCCCAATGTTAGTTTGTTTTCCTATAAATGAACCACAAAGCAGTCGATAATTTGCATTAAAACGACCCTTCCTTACCTGAGGGCTGCTAATGGGGCCATAACCCACTGACGGAGTGCCGGGTAGGCAGGGTGAGTCCAGTGATGAGCTAATAACAGAAAAGGGGGAGCCGATGCTACTGATGGGGCTGTTGATCCCAGCTGAGGAGATGGGTGGTAAGGAGGTCATGGAAGCTGCTGAGGGAACCAGCGGGGGTGAGCGCTGGCCTGAGGGGGGGGACGACACAGACGAACTGTCTGGACTGCGGGAATCTGACAAGAGACAACCGGGACAAAACATCCGAGATAGGTCAAGTCTTCCAACATAACATCTAACAGCCATAATGACAGAAGTTGATCTTTATCTTCCTAAAATGATCTTCATGATTTATGATTCTGATTCTGCAGCAGGCTAGGCTGCATGGTCTCTCGGTCCTTAGGGCGTGTACTTTTTTATTTATTTGAAGACGTGAGTTGTGCGTGTATGCATGCTTGTTCTATTATAGTGGAGCTGTTATAAAACAAGATTCTGGCCAGTAGGAAACAAAATTTGATTAAAAAAAATTACATAATGTGTTCAATCTTTCTAAACTAATCCTATTTAACTGCTGGATGTCAAATGCTTTTTAAATAAAAACGTTGCACAAATACTTAATTTATATGTAAATATGATTATATAAGAGTACTAAAACTGTGGCTAAGAAGCAATCATGCGTCGCCTTTCCTGAAAATAAATCAGAGCCGTTGGACTCACCTCTGCTGTCTCCCATTTTGGTGGTTTAAGCACGCGGGCCGGCTGGCAGCGTCTAACCGAGGAGCTTCAGCCTCTGGCGGCCCGCTGTCAAACTCGAGACCGCGGACTGAGGCCCGGGCCGGAGTCGGTGTGGGAAACCAAAAACGGGTCTGAAATTCCAACACAAGCACAATAAAACACATCATTCCGTGGCAGAGAGTGGCCATTTTGTCATACAAAATATATAAAAACCAACAATCACACAGTTGTCTTAAAACTGCAGCACATTTAAATCGTTGTCAAAACCTGTAACTGCGAGTCTGATGCCTTTTGGGGATTTTGTGTAACGTTATGCGACTTTGCAAAGCAGCCAGGTGCTCAACCGATGCCAAGAATGTGTTGTCCAAATACATCATAAGGTCATTAAAATGGCTTTTTAAACAGACAAACTATTTATTATCGAACACATCAAGGTTTTATCACAGTGAGTCAAACGTCCCGCACCCGGACAGCCGGAGCACTGACAGATGGCAACAAACCACTGATCCTCTAAGCTAGCTGCTAACGTTAGCCGTTAAAAAGCTCGTAAACTAACCAAGCTAACGTTATCAGAACCTAAAGTGTCGAGCTATTTATGTCACGTTTGAACGTTTAACTGCAAGTATACCACTGGGCATGCCTTTAAAAGAACGCATGTCGTTTCTGTTAGAACATAAATAAATCTATTTATATATGGTTTAAGTTGTTAAAACAAGCTAAAAACCTTTAGCTAGCTGTTAGCCACCTCCCCGGCTAGCCGACTGGATCGGAGGAGAGCTACGAACAAACTAGATTGCAACTATCTGACCCGTCTCTACCCAACTCACCTGTAAACACTGAAGCTACATTATGTTTTAAATATATTTACAGCAAATATAAAACGATTTACTGACGTTTTAGCGGCGCAGCTCCTTCGCATAAAAAGATGTGGCAACTAGGCCCCCGTGTGTGCCTCTCCCCCCGCTTTGCTTCGTAGTCAGCCCTCCCTCTCTCCAGTCTCCCTTCCTTCCCCTGCGACGATGAAATCATGATGATGGGGAAGGATTTGGCTTAGTGCTCTCTTACTGTTGAACACTGGCCCCGACATCACTGCAGCATCCGTGCAGCCTGGCTCTGAGGGCAGGGACCGTGTGGTCTCAGGTCTTTGAGTCTGAGACAACTTCCAGTGCAGGAGGTCAAGAGGTCAAGACAAGTTCAGCTTTGCATGTCAGTGGCTGGAAAGGTCATCAGGGGACACTGGTGGACTCCTGAGCTTTGATATAGTTTGAACTTTGGAACACGTGTGACCCGTCCTTTCCTGCATAAAGCTGAGCTTTGGAGCATCAATTGTTCCCCAAAACTCCCTGCTGAGTCAACACTTGATGTGTCGTCCTAGAATCAAACAAGAAGTGCAACATTTCTTACTCATTGCACTTCAAAGAATAAATCTGACACAATAAAAAATTATTTTAACTGTCTTGAACTGATTAAAACATTAAACAGTAACATAATTTGCAGACTACACATCCAGTTTGAATCCTGGAAAGTTAATGGCTCATTAATTGCATTCAGTTTTGGAAATAATTAATAGAAATTCCAACATACAAGTTAGTCTATAAACTAGAGTGACATGCTTTTAACACGCCTTTTATGTGCGGCATCACAGAAATGGTACAGCTGCAGTTTTTGCCCCTTGTGTGGACATTTGTGTGCATGAGGGAGTAAACTGGAATCATAGGTTTAATAATACAGATAATTTTGGAGTAAAGCAGAATAGTTCACACCCAATCATTAGTTTTTTATGTTTAGTGCAGAATTCATCAGCACCGTTCCATTCTTTTCATTTAAACTCTTTTTGCATTAGGTGGAGTGATTCTTTTGGCTACCTAACTGCAAACATGTTTTCAACAGCTGCAAAAGCAGTAACAGTGTTAAAACATTTATTCAAAGCCTCTTTGTGAATAAACGACTGTAACTGATTTCTGCAATACATATAAAAAAATCTATGCATATAATCATTCATGCAAATCCAATTTATACAGGATTTTTGAAATGACTGAAACAAGATTTTAAAGCATGAAAATGTACTTCCTGAAAACAGCAAATGTACTATATTTGACTCAAAAGTCACCATCAGATTTTCTCTATTTTCTTTTTATTTACCCAAATAGCAACAATTGTTTATTAGTATTCTAATCAGTTCATGTGCATCAAAACGTTTTTGTGTCCCTGACACAAGTCACTGACTCCATGCAATTCTGCCGGGTTTTCTTACACAGGAAACTGTTAACTAATGATTTAATGGCACCAGTAAGTTCAGTTGGGGTGTTTACTTTGTAAAGTGTCTTCATGCGACTCTTTTTGTGAATTGGTGCAAAAGAAATAAACTGGATTGCATTTAATTAATACTTTTATTTAAATTTTTAACTTTAATAATCATGTATCTTAATGCAACAAGCATTTCTGAGTGGTGTGTTATTGTAGTATTCCTCGTGGAAAATCAACTTTGTCCAACAGGCGTTTTAAATCCTTCACCGCCCCCACGTGGACATAAATGGTATTACAAACACCTAAAAAAAATCAGAACATTTCAACTACAACTTATTTTCTGTAGATATTTATATGAATCTTTTTGATAGTCCAACAAGTAAAAGTCACTATACTGCAAATAAAAGATAAAGGCAGATGACCACCGCATCACTTTCTGTCAAAGTCATCATTATTTGATTAGTTATTAAAAAAATGTTTTCTAAGTTTTTTCATTTTTTTATTCTTTTAAGTGGTTCTTTTAACAAATCAGCTAAGAAAATAATTATAAATGTAACAGCTGAAAATGACAAGTTAAACTCATGTTAGTACATTTAAAAGGTTTTGAGATACCTGACAGAAGAAGAAGAAAGTTTTTTATGTACTACTTTATCAAAAATATTAAATTAGTCACAATCCGAAATTTTTGATGGTCATAATTCCAAATTTTCCCACAGTCCCAGGAAATAACCTCAACTGTCCTTTTTTGCAGTAACGTTACGCCCCTCTGTCCCATTCATACAAACAACCTTATGCATTTTTTTATTTCTGTTTTAAAGACACGGAGCAAAAATAAAAGAAAACAGGTTTCAAACACTTGGTTTAATTATATTTATTTAAGAGACATTTTGAAAGCAGAGCAGAAAACATCTTAATGACAGAAACTGAGAAAAAAGGAAAAAAGCAACTTTTGAGAATGACCAACATCACTTTTTGTCTTCGTGAGTTTTTGTAAACAGTTTTAAAGTTGTATCAGATCTGAACTAATAGTAATTATTATACACAATACGGTTTAAGTTAGTCTAACTGGTATTAGTACGAACTAGGCCATAATAACCATTCTGACCTGAAACATTTCAGCTGCTTTTGTTGTTTAATTTGCTTTTAATCCAGTTTACAACAAATACACATAATGAATGTGACAACTGGAGAACAAAAGGATGATTTTACCTTTTTATTTGCTTCTGTGTTAAAAGTTTTAATTACGTTTTTACAAAAATCACTTTGAAATTCAAACCAGAAGCACAAAATCCAAACTTGATCAGATAAGTCGCCCTTCAGACCTGAGCTGGACTCAATAATGCTACAGATGCCACTACCCAAAGAGTTTAACCTGTGTGTGTGTGCGCGTGCGTGCGTGTGTGTGTGTGTGTGTGTGTGTATGTGAGAGAGAGCACTGCATGAGGGATTAGCCCCAGTGTGTGTCCACTAGTGATTAGCCTGGTCAGTGGGCCTGTTGTGCATTCACTCAGCACATTAGCATATTAATGCAGCTTCGCTCTTGATCTCCCTCCCGCCCTCTAAACTCTCCCACTCTGCCCCTCTCTCTCTCTCTTTCGCGCTTTTCTCTTTCTCCATACATATTTCTCAGATCGAGTTGTTGCTTCCTGCAGCCTCAATCTATAAATCTCACCGATTTCTGCTGCTCGTGCTGTGAGGCAGCGGACAATCTGGCCACACAAACCTCAAGGTGCCTGCTCCTCTTTCCCTCCAAAACTCTGACTCTCCCATCACCCCTTCTCTTTCAGCTTTTCTTTCTCCAGGTCTGCCCCCCCCCCTGAACTCTGTCAAACACAGAAAAACACACACTGAAACAAACCCACGGGGTAAATACAGAAAAGGTGAACACACACACACACCCTTGTTCATCCTCACCCTCTCCGTTAGAGTTTAAGCAAGACCCGATTCAGATCAGCTGTTCAGCCTTTTTCCTTCACCCTGTGTCTTTAACCTTGTTACCGACACGGGAAGATCCTGGTCTGCAGCGCCAGATATACAGAAAACTTCAGATTTAAACCTGTGTGAAAGAAACAAAAACATTATCAGGTATTTGAGTTAATTCATTTCACTGAAACAGATTCAAACACACAATGTGAAACAGAAAAGTGTCGATAAACTTTTCAGTTTAGAGAAAATTTAGCTTTAAATTAACAAATGTGTTGATCGTCATAAATTGACGTCCTTTTCCTTTACCATTTGGCTGATAATAAACACAGATCGCCTTAAAATGTTTAAAATAACTGATCCAAGAATTAAAATTCTAACTGTGCCATTTTAAATTGAATAAATATTCAAACAAATAGTTAAAAAAACTTTTGTAGGCCAAAGAGTTCCCCCAAAAAGTGCTGAGCTGATGTCCAAAGATGTCCGAAGAGGTTCTTGAAGGATTATAATTTACATAAACACACACTCTCACTCATTCACCAGCCCTCTCCCTCCATCTGTTTGTCTTTATGTGCTCGTTCAGATCCATCCCATCCATGGTGGTCCGCTCCTCGCTGATTCTCAGAGGTCAGGGGCGTGATGTCCATCCACAACTCCTGCTTTCACAAAGGCACACACAAGAATTGCGTTTGGACAATCATCTCCGGACCTCCACCTTTCTGGGGTGGGTTCGCGTTCTTGGAGGAACAGGTGTAGCTTCGTCTCAGACTCTGAGACAGGACGTTGTAATTTCATCCAGATATCACTCCGCTCACTCGCTGAGGCAAAGTGCGGGCGGACAAAGACGAAAAGGAGCTGCAAAGAGAAACAAGCAGGAAAAGAACCAAGAGACAAGAGAGGGGAAAGCTTTAACTCACTTTCGTTTTCTGTGCCGGTGACACCATGATAAACGAAGGGGTCACCACCCGGGGGCAGGCCCGCTCTAAAGGAGCCGGAGCTGTGACCTTGTACAAAAGAAGAAGTGGGTCCCCCCAACGGTCACACGGATCAAAAAGGACAAAAGCCTGAGATGATAACTCGGCGCAGCAGTGGAGCTCCGTGTGATCCAACACGTGAGCCGTGGAGGAAGTAAGTTTCAGCGAGTTGGAGGCGGTTTGGGTGGAGTGACGAGGAGCTAAAACGTAAAGCTGCGACTCGCTCTAATGTGATTTGCTGAATGCAACATTTTCTCTTTATCTGATTCGCTCCGTTAGGCGTTCTCTCTTTCTGTGGGACTCCCGTCTCTATCCAAACGATGTGGTCTTTGGTGAGGCCTGGCCTATTCATCCCAGCCCCATGTGCTGGCGTGCCCACCATTGAGGTGCAGAGTAGCACGGTCACAAAGGGTGGCAGCGAGTTTGTTCCTTAAAGTTTGAGCCTCTGTTCGGAATAAAGACTCGGTCAAAGAGCTGAGCTGGAAAATGCACCGTGCAGTTTTACAAGTTTAAAGAAAAAGATGCAATTTCAAACATTTGCAGCATGCAAATTAACACTTTGTGTTGTAAATGCATTAAACAGCAAAACATTTTAGAAAACCTTATTTTGCGTTAAAAAGCCAAATGCACGAGGCATCAGGCTTTAAACACATTTCTTACTGATAAATACATGTAAAGTTTAAAGTAACTCCAGTCCACAGTGTTTTTGACGGTTTAAAACTCAAAGGATTGACTTAATTCTCTTGACATCTTCTCTAGCACAGGCTGTGGTGAGGCTGGCATTAAAAACTCAGCTCCTTAGTTTTCTAGAAGTGAGAACCTGACACGGCGCTGCTGCACACGTCCGGATTAAAAATGAGCAGAAATAAAAGTGTTACCTAAAAAGGCCGGCAGTGGAAGGTACGGAGGCCCGTTGGGGCCTAAAACCTGGATCAAGATTTTTTACATTAAAGCCCCTCCCCACACCGATCAGTCATCCTTACACGTACGACGGACATCCTCGC